TGTAGTTACCTCGCAACGTTGATAGAAAGTATTACTTCCTTGCTTCCCCAAGCAGAAGATAAAATCATAGTCCGTCCATCAGAAAGCCATGGAAACCGAAGTAAGCCAGAGCAGTACATCCCAGGGAAACACCCATCTTGAGGGCTCATTACAGTGGGTACCTAAATAATAACTAATGTATTAAGCATTTGATATTGGACATCCAGCACTTCTTATCCAAAGGTATATACTTAAGGAAATGGAACGGCATCATTATACCACATCAGAAACACTGAGGCTCCCCTCTAGTTTGCCGTCGGTAGGCCAGTCAATTTTATGCATTGAATTTGTGGCATTGTGTGCTCCACTATCCACAGCACTCTTTGCTGAGATGAACACAAGATACTTCCCATCCGGGCTGTGCAATAAAAGCTCTCATTATTAAGCATTACAATGTATTGATAGCGTAAATGCATCAGAAACTTGACATAACCATTCTTGCATAATAATAAATAATAATAATCAACAAAAACTGTTTGCGGTGCACAAAGATTCATACTACTGAGGCCAGGTTCTACAGCAACAAGAAGGAAATGTTGATGATGTTGATTTGGCACGGCCATATTATGTATTTTCAAATTAAAATTACACCAAACAGGGATTTATTGTTGTTTGAATAGTGACAGGCAAGTCCCATTACAACTCATTAAAAGACAATCACATACACTCACTAATGTGCATGGTCCATCTATTGGTGTGGCTTGCATTGGGAAAAGGAGTGACATAGTGTTATCAGTGTAATTTCTAACCATATGTCATGCACATGTTGGGTGGCAGCATGGCAGTAGACGTGCGTCCGGTTATGGGCCATCAAAACCACATATACAGGAGGCCGGTAACCACAACCCGACAGGTTGCTGGAGTTTTCTTATCGATTTTATTATTAGGGATATGATCTTTTTCAGTCCTGATTCTATCTTAATTAGTTGGAACTTGAAATCGATGATTGCTGGGGGAATCAGTCCCTAAAACGGAGCCCCAAATCAGTGTTAGCTGTGCTCTTGCTACTAACACTAAGCTTGAACAAGAGAACCCAGAAGAAGATGGATAAAATCCTGAGGGGCTTCCTTTGGGCGGGCATAGCGCCCGCGAAGAGAAGCCACTACCACGTCAATTGGGTCAGGGTATGCAGGCCCCTCCGCTTGGGGGTTTGGTTGTTCCGGTCCTTGCCAGGGTGGCGATGAGCCTCAGGATCCGATGGTTTTGGACGATGCACACCGACCCCTCCATCCTCTGGACCTGCAATTTTCCTGGGATGAGCACGATTTGTCTGCCGCATCCACCAAGATGGCAGTTGGCGACGGAGCATCTGCCTTATTCTGGGAGGATCAATGGATTGACGGTCATGCCATTTCTGGGTTTGTGCCTGAGCTACTGCTTCTGGTCTCAGGGTGCACTAGGAAGCGGCGGAGGTTAGACGCCCTGACAGATCCCCATTGGATCTCGGACATTAGGGAGGCCTCAAGTCTGCCGGTCTTGTGACAGTACATCCATGTCTGCCGGATGGTGCACAGGCCTGCAGCTTCCCACCTCGCCGGATGTCCTCCAGTGGCGCCAGACCCTGGATGGACACTTCCAAGAGCTACTACGACGCTCTCTTCTAGAGAGCAGTCAGCTCGAGCGCTTGGAAGCAAAACTGGAAGTCGTGGACTCCCCCAGGGATTAAGTTTTTTGTGTGGCTTAATTTTCACAAGACCGTTGTTGGACTGCCGACCGACCAGCGCATCGAGGCCTGCAGCATACACCTTGTAGAGTATTATGTGACCAGTCGGAAGAGACGATGGCAGTGGCACATCTCCTCACAGGCTGCTCCCTTCCACACACGGTGTGGCATGAGTCCTGGACACGATCGATGGCTTGTTCAGCCGTCACGTGGGATGACTTCGTGGACTGGTAGCAGGAAACTTGCCTCTCCATCCAGACCTTTGCCGGAAGGGCGCGTCCTCTGGATCATGCTAGTGGCATGATGCATATGGAAGCATCGCAACACGATCATCTTCGGCGACGCCCGTCTCAGCCAAGTTAGCCTCGTCGAGGCGATCGGGGCGAAAGCCAGGGATTGGGTGATGGCAGGCGCGAGGGGTCTTTGCGGCGTTGCTACCGGCAGAGGCGGCGACTACTTTTTAGTGCGTTGTGTTGTATCACTGGGTGTGCCCCTCACTGGGTGTGCCCCTCTACGGGCTAGTTCAAACTCTTCTTTCTATCCGTGAACTGGAACACAAGGCTTTTGCATTTTTTCGAAAAAATATTGGCCCCCCCCCCCCCAGCCATTGTCATTCGGTTCTCCTTTACACGGTGTTTATCCATGTTATGATGATCAAAAAATGCTGGCCTAAAGAATCTTAACGCAAAAGAGAAAATAAAGAGGAAAATCTAGCAAAATTTAAAATATGCAGCAGTGGATCTGTTGTTACTTCCAATACATCTAGTTGATCCTTGTGACATAAATTAACACCATTGAACAATGGAAGTCATCCTACCTGAACCGTGGGAAAAAAGCACTACTCAAGTCTGCTGTTAACTTGACCAGAGCTGCAGTATCACCCTTATTGGAGCTGTTACAAAATAGAAACAGGTAATCAGAAAATAAAATAACCTTTCTATGGAAAAATGAAAAAATGATCTGTGCTTAGAGAGCCATGCTGCATATAGCATAGTCTTTCCTACAACTAGGATGATGAGGAAGTAAAAAAATATGTGACCAGTCTTGTTATCTTGTACAGAAAAGATCTTTCAACATATATTTGATGCAAGTCTTTAAGGTAAAATAGGAAATAAAAAACATCAAAAATCAACATGAATTCTTCAAATGTATAAAAAATGTGCATCTGGCAACGGGTAAGAACAGAAAAATGAATAATTAATGTTACCAAGGACAGATATGCTCACTCAATTGATGGTTTGTCAGCTTCTTCCTTGAAAGGATCAGCAGCAGCATACAGAGCACAAGGTCTGTTATAGCAGTATTTGATGCCAAGTTTCCTTGGTGTCTCTTGGAAACCATTATCATCTGACCATGCCACAAAAACCAAACTATATGAAGATGATGGAGCCCAAATCACCTGGCCAGCACTTAATGATCTAGGTATACCCTTCAATGCTCGTACTTCACCACTGCAGCGGAAAGTTTCCTCAGAACACCACAATACAGTATATTGTAAACTTTCTCGAATTTATATTTTCACGTCAGCCAGAAGCATACCTAGTGATGTTAGCGACGAACAAAGCAGGTATCCTTTTGTTACTATAGGTTTCTCCCCAGTTATCTTCTGTATCCCCTTGTCCCTTCCAGCTCCTGTAGTCCTTTTGAGATGAACCTTCCTTCCTGTAACCTGAATCATTGAACTCTGGCTTTGGTTGGGGAGGCTCCTCAGCAACATAAGCTATAAGGGTCTCTTCCTGGTTCCATGAAATCCCTTCAAACCTACATTTATAGCAATGCAAAGCGCATATCAGAGTTACAAAAGCAAAATGAAGAAATGCACGATGTCGCAAAAAGGAAAAACAAAAGAAAGATGAAATTTACCATCCATCAGCGTACAGCGACCCATGAACAGATCGTGCAACATGTATTTCGTTCTCCAACTGACAGGGCCCCCAAATCTCTAATTTTGTAGGGGAGTCATCATCCTCAGCATTCCGTACTAGCAGAAGCTTTTCTCCGGACGGTGATGGAACGACTGCTGACACCCCGCTCATTTCAACCGGGAAGGGAGACCACTGGAAACTCGCCGACTTTGAGGAACCTTTTGAGATGTGAGTATTTAGAAGGAAACTCCTCTTTTTGTTGGCCAAAAGATCCGACTGGCTAACAGAAACCATTGCCCTGGATGCGTTTTCTTAAAATTAAACAACCAAAAAGAAGAGTGAGAAATTTGAAGTTGACAAGAAGTGGATAAGATAAGTGGATATACATACAACAGTAACCGTCCATACCATCTTTGGAAGTGAAGACCCAAGCCTTGCCAATGCTGGGTATCTTGACAAATTCTTGCAACAGCTTGGACTGGGAAGCGTACTCATCCACCATAGAAGGGTCCATCCCTGAAGGCAATCCTTGCGAGGGATGGGCAGAAGCCATGGCTTTTGAACGCCAAGATGTCTTGCTGTAGCTGTGTAGTGAAAGCGATTAAACCAGATGGAACTGGCTGCAGAACCCAAAGTGAACCGAGTAGGAATAAGACGATGAGGCAGACTGAGATCCTGAGTGGGTCACTATCAGTCAACTCAAAAAATTAGCATCTCTACTACATGCACAGTTCATGTCCAAGGCATGGACTGTCAGTCAAAAACAAAAACAAAAAAATCGAACTCGCAGGCAGGTCTTGCTTTTTATCGGCCAAAAGGATTCATTGGTTCAGGACCCTATTGCTTCTGTTCTAATTCTAATAATATACAGTACTAGCATATTTTGTTTCTGAACCGGAGGCAAAGATCTACACAAGAATTAACACTAACTGGAGCAAGTTGAGGACTGCGGTGCCCCTATAGTTTGACAGAATCATGGGTATCAGCAGAAACAAGAACTATCTATATGTACATCAGACTGCAAACAGACAGCAGCAATCCAAGAACGCATCCTTCTGAAGTGCATCCAAGACAGCACAAGAAGAAGAACAAAAATCCAAGAACGCACCTCACCCTGACCCCCCTCCCGAAAGAAGATTCTGGGAGTCACCTGCGCCGCAAACAGGCCGGAGCACGAGCACGAGCAGATGAGGAGGCACAGCGGAATAGATTCGCGGCGGTGGCGACGGGGCAGGAGGAGTAGGAGCCGCGGATTCCCGAGGATACTACGGCGACCAGCATTGTAGTGGTTGGATTTGGCATATCGTCTGGCTGCTATTTTGTTTATCCGATTACACCCCGGTGTGTTTCATCATTTACGATTTGCCCCCTCAACGTGTTACGGTAAGTTACGGTTACGGGGCTCGCGCGCCGTGGGCCCAGTCAGTCAGATGATGCACCCGCTTGCCCTGTCCTCCAGCTCGCTCCTCCGCCTCATCAAGTCGCTCTCGCCGGCGGCGCCGGGGGCGCTCCTGTCGGCCGCCGCCATCCACTGCCTCCTCCTCAAGCCGGGGCTCCTCCACGCCGGGGCGCACCTCCCCACGGCCCTGCTCACGGCTTACGCCGCGCTCGGCCGCCCGGCCCACGCGCGGGCTCTGTTCGATGAAATGCCCGACCAGGGCCTCGTCGCGCGCACCGCCATGGCGCGGGCGCACGCGGCGACCGGGCAGCCGGCCCAGGCCCTCCGGGTGTTCCGGGGCATGCTCGCGGACGGCCTCGCCCCGGACAACGTTGCCCTGGCCGTCGCGCTGGCCGCGTGCCACTCTCGCACGCTGGCCGCGGGAAGGATGGTCCATGCTTTCGTCGTCGTCAGCGGCATCGAGCCGGACATGTTCGTCTCTACCCAGCTTGTGAGAGTCTACGGGGAGCGCGAGGAGCTCGCGGTCTCCAGGAGGGTGTTCGACGACATGCCGGCGAAGAGTGCCGTCGCCTGGAACACCATGGTGCATCAGTATGTCAGGAATAGACATGTGGAGGCTGCGTACCAGCTCTTTCTTGCCATGCCGAGGAGGGATGTGGTGTCGTGGAACACGGTGATAGCAGGGTATTGCCTGGTCGGCCGGTGCAGGGAGGCGCTAGGCTTGTTCCGCCAGATGGTGTCTCCGTCCTCATGCCCGGTGCACCCGAATGGGCCTACAATGTCCACTGTCCTTGGTGCATGTGGAGCTGCAGGGTGTTTGGAGACTGGGATTTGGGTCCATGCGTATATTGACAAGAATCGGATGAATCACAATGGCACACTGGATAGATGCTTGATAGACATGTACGCCAAATGTGGAAGCATTGACACGGCCTTGCAGGTGTTTGAGAAGGCACCTGGGAAGAGGGACCTCTACTCATGGACAACAGTGATTTGTGGACTAGCGATGCATGGTCGTGCCGCTGATGCCTTGCGGATGTTTCACATGATGCAAGATGGTGGTATGCGCCCTGATGATGTTACTCTCGTCGGGGTCCTGAATGCGTGTGCACATGGAGGACTAGTGGACCAAGGCCTTGACTACTTCTACTCCATGCAGGAGAAATATGGAATCACACCCAAGATTGAACACTATGGCTGCATGGTCGATCTTCTCGGCCGCGTCAGGCGATTGGCAGAGGCATATAGGATGATAAAGACAATGCCAATGAAACCTAACATGGTGATATGGGGAGCCTTCCTGAGCGCATGCAAAGTCCATGGCAGCTTGGAGCTTGGCGAGATTGCGGCGGCGGAAGTTACCAGGTTGGATCCGGATGACCCTTGGGCAAGGGTGATGATGTCCAGCATGTACGCAAAAGCCCAGAACTGGAGCGGCCTCGCCAGGGAGAGGAGGGAAATGAACAGCCTGCGGATGAAGAAAACTCCAGGGTGCAGCTCGGTCGAGCTTGACGGTGAGGTGCATGAGTTTGTGGCCGGTGGCAGCCAGCATCCTCTGCATGCTGAGATTTGTACTGTGCTGGAGTGTGTTGAGGCGCAGTCACATACAGGTTGAGGCACGCAAAGCTCTTGTGCTGGGATTTTTTGCAGGTGGAGCTAAGGGTGAAAATTTAATGATTTATTGAGCCTTTCAGTATGGTGGTGCTGAGCTCTTTCCTTTGTGAGCCAGCATACAGAGGAGGGCCTAAGAAAAAAATTTCAGTTGGTCATAATGCGAAGAACTCATGAAGTTAATAAGCTGCCAGCACCGAGTAAATGTTGAAGCTGTTGTGGCCATTGTGCACTTCAATTCAGAATCCCGTTGTTAAGCTAAGAATGCCTGAGCTGGAAGCCTGGAAGCGGAGTTGAATATCCTACATTCTTGCACCAATGTTCTTGCATCAGCCAAGCCGTGGTATTGTCAGTGGATATCGCCAACCAATCATCCCTGTCATCAAACCAAACACAACCTAACTGTATATCGCGACGCACACTCATGACTTAGTGTGTCATGGTTATCGAGATGGAGAGGGCGCCACAATCCTAGTCGCAGGAATTATTTGCTATGAACCGGAAAAGTTTGTTGATGGAAAAAATAATACTGTCTAGTGGATACTGACGAATTATATGGATTCTTTGCATTGCTGGCAGCTAGCATATTGTCATCTATCAAACAGTCAGATATTTTGTCCAATCGTGATGTGGCACGTGTGCGCCTATGCAATTTGCCCTCTGCGCCCCCTCCTCTGTTCGTGATTTTTTAAATAATGTTGATAGCTTTCAGAATAATATTTGTCACATTTAAAAATGTTTATGCGTGTAAACTAATCTATGTGGCATTTTAGAAAATATTTATACAATGTAAAAGAATGTTCATGTAATTTTAATAAAATGTTTCGTACCATTAACAAAATGTAAGTTACATTAAAAAAATGTTCACGCAATTCAACAAATATGTTTGTGACATTTAAAAAGAAATTGTACAACGCAAAAATTGCTAGCATGGTTTGAAAATATATTTCAATCACTAAAAAATGTTTCAATGTGTGTTTGGAAAAACAATTAACACATATTTGAAGACAATGTTCAAAGCATGTGTTGGAAACAAAATGTTAATCATGCATTTAAAAAATATTCACATAATACAGAAACAATGTTTCATATATATAGAAGATTTAGATATACACAGAAAATGTAATATGTGTAAGAAAAGTAGACACCAAAACATATATTTGAGAAAATGTTGATCATGTATTTGAAAAAGTTTAAACATGTATGAAAAATGTTATATATACGAAAAAATTTACAATGTGAAAGACAAAGAAAGAAATGAAGAAATAAAGAAAAGGAAAAGAACGCTGATGCAAAACAGTGAAAATACCGATAAAAAGTCACAGAAAGAACAACTAGCGCGCAGCTATAGTATTGGGCCGGCCAAATAGCGTCGTACTGTAGGCGAGACTTATTAGGAATCAGTTCAGGCGATACATAATGGGCGCGGCCTGCCATTATCTATTTACTCTTCTAGCGCCGATTACTTCCTAAAAAAAACGTGGGTTTCGGTAGATAGTGCACGCCCACTTCCAACGTTACTGTACAGTGAATTAAATGGGTCGGCCCTTTTTAGCTACTCCCAACGAATTTGAATAAAATTCCCTGAGGTTATTTTGGCTGGTTTCCCTCTATTTTTACTTTGGTTTTGTTGGTCGGTTTCTATTTTACTTTTTATTTTTAGGCTTTTTCTTCTTCTTTTAAATTTTTTCTAATTGAGTTTTGATTTGTTTCTTCCGAATGATTTTGGGAAGCTTATGGTCATTTTCATATTTTGTTTTCATTCCTATTATTTGTTTTTCATTTGCTTTGTTTTACTTCTTTTAATAGTACTTTTAAAAATAAAAAAATATGTTAAATTCATGAACTCTCTTTAAATTTCGTAAAAACAATTCAAAATTGCAAACTTATTTCAATTCGATGATTTTTCAGATTAATAATCTTGTTATATTCGTAATCTTTTGCAAATTGGTGAACCTTTTCAAATTAGTGAACCCTTTTCAAATTTGTAGATGTTTTTTAATTTGAAAACCAATAACTATTTCTCTTCTTTATAACAGAGCAATATGAAAAAGAAAGGCGAGCAAAACAAAACAAAGCGAGCGCACGCACGTTTGGGCAGTCAGCGAGCAAGCGAAAGGACATGTCTACCCTAAGAGTGAGCAAGCCAGCCACAAATGGGCCACAACTTGCGCGATGACCGTTTTAGCGTTATGCGTTGATTTGGCGCCGGAAGCGCTGATTAGGAGGTCTTGCACGGCTATGTCTCGCTTTCAGCAAACCGGGTAGCTACTCGCCGAAGGAACTACTGTATTGGGCCACCCCAATTTGCTTTACTTCATTTATTTATTCTGTTGGTTTTATTTCATATTTTATTAAAATACATTTACTGTGAAAATTAATTAATTAAAATTTTAAAAAAAATTGTTAATCACGTCTTTGAAAAAATGTTAAAGTTGCGCAAAATATTTGTTCTTGTAACTTTTAAAAAAGTTGGTGACCTCTACAAAATGTTCAAGCATTTCAGAAATGTTACATGATTTTTTTAATATTTCTACAATGTAATTGTTTTTCTGAATAATATAGAGAAAATGTTTCATACAAAGAAAAAAATGTGCATGCATTTAAAAATAGTATTGGTAACATTTTGAAAAATCTTTATAGAATTTTTAAAAGTATTTGATAGTTAAAAAGTGTTTAATGCCATCAAAATGTTTTGGTGGTTGCCTTTGTACGTTATCGCCTTGTCTTGGTGCTTCTTGTGGATAGCAATAGGGCACACATTTAGACGCGCCTCCAAGAAAAATAATATAAATAACCGGTCAATTGCAGGATGACGCACGCTTGCCAAAGAAACAATAACAAGTAGTAATAAAAGTCAAATCAAGGGCAGCAGGAATTAAGCAGGAATTTCATAGCAGAGAAACACCGAACAGATATAAGTAAGGTTGTATAATTAAGCAGGAGTTTTGATATAATTAAGCTGTAATTAAAAACAAGTAGCAAGATTTATTCATTTAGTTAAATACGGTGAAGGTACCTCAACTTGTCTTGCGCGATCAGTTTAGTGCTTAAAGTTGTAAAATACATGGAACTGGTGCTTGAACTTATCTGACTATGCAAATACGATGCCTTCATTCGTATCCAGACGTACGTCCAGCCTGCGTGGCGTGCCCACATGCCGGTGGCCCACCCAGACATGAGATTTTTTTTAGAAAACCCCTATTTAATCACATATAAAAGCCTCACAAATTGACATATTGTGTTGCACGCACAGGCTGTCCACCAGGCTATACTGTGGCTAGTAGATATAGACTAGGTCAACTTTATATATTGCGTTGCAATGCAAAATGTAATTTTGAAGCACCGACACATTGTGCTCTTTTTCTGAAAGTCAAATAAACGGATTTCTACAGCTAAAAAACTCCGGACATTTTTTGTACATGAACACATAGAAGTGAATATATCCATGTGATTTTTTTATCAAAATCTGTATTTGTTTGTGAGAGATACAAAAAGGTAAAATAAATGCAAAAATCAGCTTTTTTGCCTGATTTGTTTTCTTCTTTTTTGCAGGGTATAATATAACAAAATTTCAAAAAAAAAACTTCGAAGTCACCTAGAGCACCTGCATACATTTTTTGTGAAATTTTTAAAATTTGTATGAAACTTTGAAGTGCTAGTTTCAAAAAATTTAAGAAAAAACATGCTCGGTGGCCACCGTGCTTTGGTTGATATGTACCTCTCAAAAAAATTCAAGTTCTTTTGTTATTATTTTTCATATTATTTTTACCATTTTAAAAGAAAATTATAAGAACAAAATACAACTGCCATTAACTTCAAGAAAGTGTTAGTGCATTTGAAAAATGTCAACATGTTTTTGGAAAATGTTTCACATGTATTAGAAAATTATAAGGCATTTTTGAAAAATGTTTGTCATGCGTTAAAAAAGTTTACAACATGTATTTTTAAAAGATTTCAACGCGTGTGAAAAATTTATTGTGTAAATTATCCTTACATTTATACAAACACAGTTGACATTTTTTATTCTTAAATGTAGACAATAATTCCTAATATAGGTTAAAATATTTAAATCCACATAAATTAAGTTCATGTCTCCCTCTTCGAAGTACAATAATGAAAATGAAAAAATATTTAAAATATAAAATAATAGCATATTGATAATTGTATTTTTCATATGGGAGTTGTATAGCATTATAAAACTAAATAGGAACTTGGAAAAAAAATAAAAAAATGCAGAGCGCTACATGGATTGTATAGCTTTCTAGGTAGGAGTTGAATTTGAAGCATAGTTCGGCCGTCTGGCCAGATCGTGCCGTTGTTATGGAGTTTTTTTTCATGTTATTTCTTGCTATCACACAGTGTATTTGATGGCTTTTATATTGAGTAAATAAAAATGAGGTTTTTTTAAAACATATTCATGCGCGGGCCACCCGGCGCCTCTTAGCCACTGTCACGTTTGTACACCATGCTGGCTGGACGTATGTCTGGATACGAATGGAGGCACCGTAACCGTATTTGCACGGGCGGATAATTTTTTTTTTTGACGAAAGCTGACGGAGCAGCTTTTCTTTTCAATTATAGGAAGAAAGGTGTGGCCGGACAAATTCAAGCATCAGTTTTACGTATTTTGTAACTTTAGACATTAAACTGATCGTAAAAGACAAGTTGATACACCTTTAATGTATTTAACTCTCATTCATTTATGAGAATTATACTGTATATGCATTCTATAGAAACTACCCCTGCTAGGATATCATGTTTGTTGAGAACTCATTTGAGTAAGGCTGATCATGCCCCGAGTTTGTTTGCAAACCGTAACCAAGTTGGATTACCGAAAGGGAAATGTTAAACAACAGTGCGCCGACCGAAAACTGCGCCGGTCGCTCGCTTGCCGTGCGATAGCGCACAATTCAGCGGACCGAGTTTGCTCCCGCACAGGTTTGACTAGTCACCCCACGTAACCCATGTGTGCCTGGCCCACCACCTCCCTTTCTTTTTTTT